TAACTTCAATGGCATGCATGATGATGGCTGATATGGACGACTTAAAATACCTAATTAACGTGGCAATCCCACCTATCTCCTCAAGCCTAGTGGACACATCACCCACTTGCTACTTTATGATTCGGGGATTTTCATTTCCAACTAGCCAATCGACTGCTCCAGATTGTACTTGGTTGTGTAATCATCTAACAATAATAATGTTAATACACTAACTTATTGCACCAAGATTTAAGATACCACTGATGTGCGGTGTAATTTGTTTTCTGTTTGGAGTTTTTATAGTCATTCTAAAAAGTTACTCTGAACTCTAAATATGTAGAAATGTTAAAAGAAAAATACACTTGCAAAGAGTGCAAAATAACTATTTTAGATTCATCATGTTTATAGAGAATATAATTTTGTCGTTGATAAACTTGCTGAGATTGGTCCTCAATTGAATTTTGGCTGCTATACTTTTGAAACTCCTCCTGCTGGTGTAGGACGTCGGATGCAAGAAGATATTATGGGGGTCTTTAGACCTATGTTTTGTGTAATTTTGAATGCTTTGTTGGATTGTAGCTCTTTCATTACAAAAATGACTTTTTTAGAGTGCTAATATCGTAGCTTAAAATATATATAGTAATAGATTAGTATAATTGCATTAGGTTGTACATGAAATGTGAATTAGTAGATACTTAAATAATTTGTGTAAGAATCACAACGTCAATGCATATGCAAAGTGGTGTGACAGTTTACAGCCCCTAAATAGGTAAATGTGTTAATAAAGACAGAGGAAATATATGGGAGAAATTCATGATTGAGAAGGGTTCGGAAAAATGGTAGAGAACTAAAACCTAAACACAATTTTAAGTTGTTTTCATTTCTAAGCTTTAATTTTATTCATTGTCCGTTTCTCAATTGTCCCCTCTCTCCACTCTTTTCCCTCATTTATCCCAACTATTTTTCTTCTATATTTAACGTAAAATAAAAAGATTACCAAACGGACATCAAAATTATTTCATAAAATAGAGAGAGAGTTTTCATTTCCTATGTCATGGTTAATAGTGTTTTCTTAATTATATAGAAAGTATATATCTCTTTTTTTTTGTCGAATAGAAAGTATATATCTCTATTTTGCATACAACGGTATTTCACTTTGAGGGAAACAATATATGAGTAAGCTATAGAATGAGTCTGCTAATGTATATAAGTATCAAATTTGTCATTTTTATAAATCGAATATGAGACTTCTTAGTGAAAATAAATATCACTAGATCGTAATGAAAAAAACATGTATTCTCATTGTATAAAATGACGTGGTTCACCTCTGTACCTTGAATGTGATTTCTCTAAACAATTTTTCATGAACATAGACATGACAAATTGACCATGGAAAGTAAGTAGGGGACCCTCTTTATAGCCGCCCTTGGACCTCTATTACGACACATGTGTGGTGATTGTACTCAACATTAGTTTCCACTGCTAAATTAAGTTGAAACACGTTGCAATATTCTGCTAAAAAAGCATCGGATAGACAAGAAAACCCCACAATGGGGTCCTCATGATATGCGCATTAGGGCTATCCCCACATTACAAATCCTTCCAGAAAGCATGCAATTATAAAGGATTAGGTTTTTCAGCACAAATCCACAAATGAGAGGACTACATCACAAAGAGTTCACACTTGGCAAGCATGCCACAAGCACTACACTTGCATTATCTTTATCAAATTATTACAGCAATCTTAATTTTTTAATCCTAACAAAGATTTGTGTTTGCTGATTAGGACACTTGCATGAGAGTGAGACCAACCTATGTGACTATGTCGTCCCAAATGTGGTTTTTTATCGATGTTTATTGGCGTTTAGGTCATAATTATGTCGTTTTCATCAGTACATTACAATACCCTTTAACAGATTCTCAGCTGGTATCTGCTTCTAGCTACTAAAATGGTTTCTCTATCGATCTTTTATCCTTAAACATTTAGGGTTTGTTAAAGTTGAGGTTTGCTTTTGACAAGTTCATTGGCAGCTGCCATTTTCTTGTTAGTTTATGTATGCCATTAGTTTTCATATTCTCTTGTGGGAGTCTGACACAAAAGAGTATGTTTCAAAAGGAAAATTGTCAAACCCTAAAGAAGACTTGGTTCTTTACAATGTCGGAATTTTGACTTAATTGTAGCAGTGATCCTTAAATTTTATCCTTAATTTAATTTTTTTCCAGGAACTCTAATATTAGTTTCTTTGTTGCCCTATTAGTCATTTTCACAAACACCGTCTTTTTTTACCTTTTCTATTAGTCATCTTCAACTTAAAACTTCAAAGAAGAAAAGAAGAAGCTAAAAAACAATGAAAATCTAAAACTTAAAACAAAATGAAATTTTAACTATACAAATACAAAATGAAAATGGTTAGTCTTAGGGCTAGTTTGGTATTGTTGTGCTTTGAAAAAAAAGCTGTTTCTGCTGTGCTGTGAAAATAAGCGGCTGTGAAATAAAGAAGCAGAGTGTTTGGTAAACTTTTTTGTAAAAGTGCTTTTGGAAAAAAAGCAGTATAATAGTGTTTGGTAAACTTTTATATAAAACAGCTGTAACTGTGTGAAATGATAAAAAAAAGTATAATCCTAGATGTGCTATTAATTTAATACTAAATATATTTTATTTTCAAGTCCCAGATCTCTCAGCGCGCCCGCGACCGCCTCTTCGATCGAGAACTCTGATTGCCCATATCCTCCTACGCTGACGCCTTGGCCGCTGTCGCTTTGATCGACGACCTCCGGCCGGAGCACATCCTCTGCCTCTTCCTCGACAGTCGCAAGTCATGGGTTTCCGGGATACTCAACGCTTGTCGTCCCGATGCTCAGTGCTCCGACGTCGTTTCAGTGCTGTGCGAGGCTCTGAGGGTGATTCAGGGAGACAATGAACATCAAAGAGGTATTAGAAGGGAGCTTGGAGTGGCTCAAGAACGTTTTCGGGTCTAACATTGACCTGCCGTGGAGTAGAATGAGTGAACTTGTTCTCGGAGATGATTTGGATCTCTGGGACAGTATCTTCGAACCTGCATTTGTCGTACGTATGTAGTTACTGTAGCTCCGCATTTTTCACAATATAAGCCGCTTTTTGAAGCTGCTTTTGCAGCTTCCACTTTTTGATTTTTTTCTTCTGAAACTTTGAAATAAAGCTGTTTTTGGATGTTTAACAATCCCCAAAAATTCTCTCAATTTTTTTTCATACCAACTTTTTTAAAAATCACCTCAACCCGAGGCTTAGCAACTTGTACATATTAGGCAATGCAACTTCAAAGTCCATGTATGGTAGCTTTAGGGTTTGGTAATTTTCATTTTAAAAAATAATCTTTTGTGTCAGACTCCCACAAGAGAATATTAAAACTAAAACTTTTAAGGAAAAAAATAATTCTAATGGCATACATAAACTAATAACAAAATGGCAGCTGCCAATGAACTTGTCAAAAGCAAACCTCAACTTTAAAAATACCCTAAATATTTAATGATAAAAGATCGATAGAGAACCCCTTTTAGTAGCTAGAAGAAGTTACCAACAGATAATCTTTACAGGGTTTTGTAATGTACTAATCAAAACGACATAATCATGACCTAAACGCCAACAAACGTCGATAAAAACCACATTTCGGACGACATGGTTACTTAGATTGATCTCACTTAGTGTAGATTATTGTAGAATATTGTTTTCTGGAAAATAAAATTCTTCTTTAGGGTCTGGTATTTTGTTTTTGGAGAACTTTTTTATAGGTCTAATACACTATGTCAAACTCTTACAATAGTGGATGCAAGATTTTAATATCACAAACAATCATATCTTCTTTAGAGTTTTGTATTTTGTTTTTGAAAAAATTATTCCGTGTCTAGCAAACTGTCAAAACTCTCACATGAGCAGATGAAAAAATCTTGGTTTAATCGTAGTAATGGTTCCTGAACTTTATATCTAATTTAATTTAGTCCCTGAACTCATAGTAATTTTTTTTAGTCCTCGAACTTAACATTGTATCGTACCATGCCTCTTTTCACTAAAACCTTGAGGAACTTCAACCACATCACTAAAAATGTATTTAAAAATGAGATATGAGAAAGGAAAAAAAACTAAAAAAATCAGATTTTTGTTTTTTGTAAGAATTTTTTTTAGTACATTTTGTGTAAGAATATTGAATACATAGGAATATTTTTGTAGTTCAATATGTTATTTATTAGTTGTTTAAGTCTAGCCATAGTTCGATCTCTTACCACGGTTAATCTTTGTATTCCCGTGCTCGTATTTCTTTGTAATCATACAATAATTTTTCTTGTTCATTTAACATATTACCATGTCGTCTCCCCATGTCCATGTCCATGCATTGTAGCCCTGAAAAAGATTTGGTTCTTTGTGGTGTTAGAATTTTTCAACTGCTCTTGTGAGAGTTATGACAGTGTACCGGACACAGAAAATATTTTTTTCGAAAACGATATCTGAATCTTGCATCCACTCTTGTAAGAATTTGACATCGTGTCTTGGACCTAAAAAAGTTCTCCAAAAACAAAGTACCCTATAGAAGATTTGTTTTTTAATGTTTTTTTTTTTACCACAAGCGATATTCTGCAGTACACTAAGAGGAAGGGGAATGATTGGAACCTGAAGCGCAATGGGTTTGGGAGAAATGTCATAACTATTAAGACAATCCACCACTTGCAAAACAAGATAGTCCCCACAAGAAGATTTGGTTGTTGGCAATGTTAGAATCTTCCAAGCCAAAGAAGTGAAACCTTGTGATATAGCATGGACCATCATGTTCAGTGCACACAATATCTGACATTCATCCATTTCACTTGTTGATGTTAGATTCCACTTTCCCAATTATTATTAGGTTATTGAAATCACTGCTATTGTCCTCTTATGGAACAAAATCATGACGCCACCCATAACATACAAGATCTTCTCATACATATGGAGACAGGTTAAAGCCTAAAAGACTACTGATTTTGTTTAGTACAAAGAATTAGAGACAATTCCCAAAAAAAAAAAAAAATTAATTAAGGCATAAACTTTCATGAAGGGATACAATGTAATCTATCAATCTGTACAAGTGGGACTAATATGCCGATAAAAAAGGGAAAGGGGAGATGGAATATTGCTTGCTCCCCATAGAGATGCAAATTTCCAATTGTTGCTCCAATACACAAGTTGTAGAGAATAAGCTGATAAAGGGAAATAATTTCCGCACGCCACTTTTATCCCATGCACACCCCTATCTATTTTTGGCATTTGGATCGAATAAATTAAGGAGAAGCAAGGGAGAAATAAACAAGAATGTACAGAACGAGAAGAGATTTGCAGAAATTATTTTCTGAATAAAACATATGAACAAGGGAATCATTCAAAGTTGTCCATTTGCTGGGAGGCTTGATATTAGCAGTAGCTGTTGATGGGCAGAAGAGTTGTGTTCCTTCGCCCATTCAAAGTGAGCCAGAAGGGCCCCAATACAGAGACAAATCATAGCATTTCACCCCCACAAAACGCACATACGATTTCAACTTCACGTGCCACATGGACCCATCACTTTCCTCCCTCTCAATCTCAAATGAACACCACCACGGCCAGAAGGCAGGCTTCAGTCTCCGTCATCTGATATGCAACTAGATATGGCGATGTTAACATTATGATAAAAATATGGATTCAATGACACAAACCCTGAATCTGATCGGATCATTCATGTGACCGACAGACACGAATATGGGGGGTACCGGAATACATACCTGTCATCCGATGCATCCAGGTAGAAGCAATAATTTTTACTGTAAAATGCAAGAAAATCATTAACATTAAATCAAAAAAGTTTAGAGAATGGAAAAAGGTGGGATTGTGGTTGCAACTGTTTAAAAAAGTGCAAAGATTCGTGAAATCTTACTTTCTCTGTGACTTTTTCTCCTTTCAACTTGGCATATGTGTTGTGTGTGATGACTACTTCTCTCCTATAGACAAAAGACCCCAAAAAGAAGAACTAAAAAAGAAAAACATAAAACTCTTCTCTCTTACATAGAAAGACCCCAAAAAGAACTTAAAAAAAATCCTAAAACTCTTCCACTCAAAGTAGGCAGTCTTCATACGGATTCTAACAACTGATGAAGACGCCAGGTTGACTCAGCCCTTGCCACCCAAACCCTTTTTTCCCTTTAAATTCCCTCCTCAACCATTTGTTTCCTTGGCATTGTACACCTCTCATTTGCCTTTTACTCTTTTCTCACTAAGAAACAACTCAAACATTAAACTCCTTTCACCTTCACCTTCCTCCATCGTTTCTAACCGGAAAAAAAAAAAAATGAGGTATCCACCCGTTTACTTCCCCAAACAAATGAACGTGTTTATCATCGAATGCATCATGGTCTTGTTCATGAGCTGTGTAACCATTAGAACTAACCTTTGTTCTCCAAACACCCCTTCGTTGAAAACACTTCCTCTAGACGGGCATTTCAACTTCCATGAAGTTCACCATGCAGCCAGAGATTTTGGCAACAGATATCAGTTCCTTCCTGTGGCAGTGCTGCATCCAAAGACGGTTTCAGACATAGCCACTATTGTTAGGCATGTTTGGGACTTGGGTCCTCGTTCGGAGCTCACAGTTGCAGCTAGAGGCCATGGTCACTCACTCCAGGGCCAGTCACAAGCCCACCAAGGAGTTGTTATCAATATGGAATCACTCAAGGTTCCACAAATCCAGATTCACACCGGAAGTTCTCCATACGTGGATGCCTCTGGAGGTGAATTGTGGATAAATATCCTGCGTGAAAGCTTGAAATATGGGTTAGCGCCAAAATCATGGACAGACTACTTGCATCTAACTATCGGTGGTACTCTGTCTAATGCTGGGATAAGCGGACAGGCATTCCGGCATGGCCCGCAGATCAGCAATGTCCACCAGCTGGAAGTTGTTACAGGTTTGTTTAAACTAAACCCGCGCGGGGGAGGGAAGCTTCCACGGTGATGGTGACATATCACCATGGAAGACAAGACCAACGTCAAAGGTCTAACTTGCTCATGAAGCATGTCATACTTTGACCCTGGTCTCATGAAAGATACCCTGGCTACAACTTTAAAAGAATATCTACGAAATTTGTTTATTGAGCACATAACATCAATTCTTACTAACAGATGAACTAAAAATGAGTGCAGGAAAAGGGGAGGTTGTAAATTGTTCAGAGGAGCAGAACGAAGACCTATTTCATAGTGTTCTTGGGGGGCTCGGTCAGTTTGGCATCATAACCCGGGCCAGAATATCGCTGGAAGCAGCACCTGCAAGGGTAAAAACTATATATCATTGAGGTTAATGTGTCACAAGTTAAGCTTCCAGTTGGAGTACAAAGTGCCAGTTGTTAACCAAAATCTACATTTTGTGTACAGGTAAAATGGATTAGAGTCCTGTATTCAGATTTCACGGCATTTACTCAAGATCAGGAGCATCTAATGTCTGCAGAAAATACATTTGACTACATTGAAGGATTCGTGATAATAAACAGGACCGGTCTGCTAAACAACTGGAGGTCATCCTTCAATTCAAAGGACCCAGTTCAGGCCAGCCAGTTTAAGTCAGATGGAAAAACTCTCTTCTGCCTAGAATTGGCCAAATATTTCAACCTGGACAAGACCAAAATAATAGATGAGGTGAGTAATGCAATGGCCCACCAGCAGCCTGTTAATTTTGAAATTCTGAATGATTTGGTCGAATTCAGTTGTAATTTGACTGTATAACTAACATCACAATCATATATCTCTTTCTGGCATGCAGGAGATCGAGAACTCATTGTCTCAATTAAGCTACATCCGTTCAACGCTATTTGTGTCAGAAGTTGCATACATAGATTTCCTGGACAGGGTGCATGCGTCCGAGATCAAATTACGCTCAAAGGATTTGTGGGACGTTCCACACCCATGGCTCAATCTTCTTATACCAAAAAGCAAAATTCACACTTTTGCTAAAGAAGTTTTTGGCAATATCCTTACAGAAACAAGCAACGGCCCTGTCCTCATATACCCAGCTAACAGATCAAAGTACGCAGCAGTTACATCAAATATGTTGTTATCACCAAAATTCCCTACAGCTTGTCTTAATGATTAATTTCTTAAATCTATTTTCAGGTGGGACAACAGAACTTCTGTAGTTATACCGGAGGAAGATATTTTCTACTTAGTGGCATTCCTCACCTCTGCAGTTCCCTCGTCAACTGTAACTGATGGATTAGAACACATCTTAACTCAAAACCAAAGAATTTTAGAATTCTGTGAAACAGCCCAGCTTGGGGTCAAGCAATATCTACCCCATTACGCTACACAGGAAGAATGGAAGGCCCACTTCGGCCCACGCTGGGAAGACTTTGTGCAGAGAAAATCTGCTTACGACCCTTTGGCAATACTTGCTCCTGGACAAAGAATATTTCAAAAGGCAATACCCTTCTCATGACAGCTGCTACGTGTTACTGTTAATATATAAGAGATTAAGAGAAGAGGCCCTAAAGGCATGCGGGAAAGTTCCTTAACCAAAAAGGTTCTGAGCTACTTTTATATTCACGAGCCATATATGTGTTGCAGGGAGACTGCAAGTGTTTTAAGACAACGGTTAAAATAACTTTATACCAACTATAAGACATAGTTGTAAAGGGACTGGAGAAACGCCAGCTCTGTAGAGGATGTAAATAATAATTCTTGTAAATATGGCTGAATAATTTAGATCATGAATCCAGTTGCATAAAAAAAATCTAATATCATATCTCCGATATCTTATCAATAATTTATATTTCCTCCAATGAAAAGAAGTAAAATCCTCAGAACAAAGCAGGGGTAACTTGTACAACACCAGCAAAGATCAGGATAAAGAAGAAAAAAAACATAGAGATATACAAGGAGATAGGGAACCCAAAAGAAAAATTAACCTGTAGTTACAATCTTCACCTTCTTTCCTCTGTCATCTTGCAATATATATTATTATCATATCTTGCTATCATACATCCACTAATCTAGGACAGCTCTAATTTGTACGGAATCGGGAAAGAGCTGGCAACTACAACTTGTGGGAAGGGGCTAGACCTACAAAGTATTCATTTAGCTTATAAAATGATCATGTACAAAATAAAATGACATTAAAGCAATTCCTTTGGCTATGTTCCATTTGATAACTATTAAACACAGTTACAGAATAATTCCTTTCCAGAACAGATTCCAACTTTTACATCAGCAATCGTAGGAACCTAGAAATTCAACATCATATTCATGTCTCTGTGTGTGTGTAAAATATATATAAATATACTGCAAAATTGAATAGAAGATATGTTTCATTGTGAAGGGCATAAGAAAAACATGATCTCTGAAAACAAGGACTTGGACAATATTGATATTATTTGCCTAGTCATTCACTTCACTAAAATTCACAGGCAGGAAACATGACATACAGTGCGTGCGTGTGTGTGTGCAGTGTGTGTGTGTGTGTCAGTGTGTGCAGTGTGCGCAGTGTGCGTGCGTGTGTGTGTGTGTGAAGTGTGCGTGCGTGCATGTGTGTGTGTGTAGCAAAAAAGAAACTGATAGAGGTTACTCTTAGACCAGTAATGAACCGCGATAAACCTGAAATATAACAGAATATCCTAATGACTGTATTGAGGTATTGGACACACTGAACAAATAAATTTAGTGGCATTCACCCAACTAATTTGAAACAAAGATGCTTAACTTATCCTTTGTTTACTTTTACTGTTTTTGGGTTTCTTGTTCTTCTCTTAACCTAGAAGCTGCACACAGTGTAGCAGGCTGGCGTAGATCTCAAACTAAAATAACTTTACAAGGGACATTTTTCTCTACAAAGGGAGGTTTCCAGTTTAATGGTCTGGCTAATCATATAATACAACAACAACAACAAAGCCTTATCCCACTACGTGGGGCCATCTGTATGAATCCTAGAACACCACTGCGCTCGGTTTGGCTAACTAATCATATAATATCCATGATTTTTCATGCCTGTTATTTCAACCATCCAATATCAAAATTAATGAAATTCTACAATGTCATCCACCTTCATGCTCATTCAACGTCAGCAGAAAGAATGATCTATAAAGAAAGTGAACTCAAAAAGGAGAAAACTTTTGCTGCTTAAGAGATTCTTCCATCTTTGTCTCAGAAAGTTAGAATAGGTATTCAGTTGTCCAAACAATTCATGTACTTGTTTAATCACTGTTGACTGTACAACATAGTGATTGTAAAGTTCTTTGACACCAAGGCCACCTTCATAATTACAAATGCATTGGCTCAGAATGGTTTCCTCTGTTTCACAAACCACTCAAAACACCAGTGACTCTCAGAAGACTAAAATCACCACAACATAAAGCAAAGCTTCAGCTTTGCTAATGTCTTTGGACGCTAAGGACCCTAGCTTTAGAATATTCCCAAGAAGGGGTCCAGACAAAATTTTCATGAGGTGATAGGGGTTGATATTTGGAAGATGAATTTAAGTACTTTTGACAACGTTAGTTTGTTAGCTAAAGAGAAGAATTCAGTTTAGCTAACACAGGTACTCTTTCCTCTAAAGGTACTCAAATATTTACAAAATCCACTGTTCAGTTAGTACAAACCACAGAATATCAAGAACAATATGGCTAAGTACCTCACTTACCTCAAATATAATATGGATGTCTCACTTAAAATCATTGATAATTCTAATGTTGCTTCTCCAGTGACTACAGAAAAAGCTGTTGGAAAATCTGACACAACAAAAAGGTCCATGTTATGTCAAAGGCACAAATTTCAAGGATTTCATCAGTGCCAGTTGACCACATATACCAGTAAGTGTAGAAACAAATAGATATGAAAAGAATCTAACATATAAAAGAAACACGTACATATGCATTTCACAGCCAAAAGTTTGTGGTCAAGGAGCAATTATTGCCCCATGAAGGGCACATAATAAGTCAATGGAATGTGAGTGGGTAGGTTGCCCAGTGCACCAAATAGTAGTTGTACTACACAAGGTTCTGTCCTGATTTCCATGATGGTTGGATTGGAGATACCTTGATATAAGTCAACATACTTAACAGTACTGAGGGACAGTTCAGTATTGTTGTGCTTTAAAAAAAAATTGTTTATGCTGTGTTGTGGAATACACAACTATGTGTTTGGTAAAGTATTATAATAACGCTTTGAGAAAAACAAGGTGTTTGGTAAATTTTTTTTGTAAAAGTGCCATAACTGTATTCAGTAACCAAAAGGACACGTTGGAAAATGCTAGTTATTTGTCTGTTTGCTGAAAAGAGCTAAGCTTTGACCGAAAAAGAACAAGTTATTGTGAAAAAATTACTGTAAGTTAAATATGTTTCACAGATGCCTACAATACCATCAGCCAAATAATTGCTCCAACATAAACATCAGTAACATGATATTATACAACACATTAGGTCCTCGTATCAAACCAATTCACAAGAAGGACTCAAATAGCATAACAAGATCAGTTCACAAATATGACTTGTGTGTACACTTTAACTACTCATGTTTGAGTTTACAAAACCACCACAAGCATTTGGGACCTCTAAAGTCTTTCTTTACTGCTTCCGAATGATTAGAGATTTATGTTGCTGCTTCCGAATGAGAGGCCTACAAGCATTTGGGACCTCTAAAGTCTTTCTTGCCACTTTTATTGACAGAACTTTAATACTTTTGGAATGGATTATTTACCACTGTACCGCAAGATTTCTTCTTCCATTATTTCCATAGGTTAGTTCTTCAATAACCAAGTGTCACTTTTTATATCTAGGATTGTTATGATCACTGACCTCTTTGAATGTAACAAATTGGGACGCTGCGATGATCTGTGGTTCACGATCCCCCCTTGCACATGTTCAGCTATCTGCATCCCCAAAGAAAAGGACAGAAAACACAATACTTGTACGCAGAGAAAATTCAACGAGTTCATGACCATATATATACTTACGATGCCTAGATAGAGAAACATGTCAAGAAAAACAAATCAATTAGTGACATTGTTAACCAATATATCGTGATGTCAAGAACGAGACATGGCAACTCCAATGGTTGACACAAATGTTGAGTTGAGCTGTATTGGTTCGAACTCAAAGCTCGCCAAGAACAACCTCAAAAACACCGGTGCTAGCTATATATCGACATAACAATCTAAAATTTGAATGATCAAGATGCAACTGATTGAACAATAATGGCTCATCATCACCCACAAGGAATACAAATTAATAAGAAATTAATATGCCAAGGAGTGAATCATTTTTTGCAAATTAGATCAATTTCAAGGCCTGGAGTTGGGGAAAAGCATTTAGAGCAGTGCAATTCAACAAACATAATCATAGGTATATTCAATTGGCAACAAAGAAACAATGTCCTAATCAATAATTGGATACAACCCTAGTCCAAATCCACTGCACCCAAATTCCAAATTAAATTAACCAAACAGTAAAATCACAAAATCTAAAATGAAATATATATATATATATATATATAGAGAGAGAGAGAGAGAGAGAGAGAGAGAGAGAGAGGAAGTTACCTTGTTCGCAAGGACAACGGAGTGAGAGAGCAACGGGAGGAGATGGGAGAGACGACCGACGGAACGAGAGCAAGGATAAACGCTGTCATTTTCCAAAATATCTGGGGGTACTATTGGTATTCCGAATGATTCAGTTCCTAAAAATAACTGGGCATCGTAGAGGGTAGGGACGAGAGATTTTTGAGTGTAATGGATTACAGGTGGTATATTGCGTGTTATTATATAAATAGTATGATATGTGTGCTAAAAAGTTAATAACTTAAAAAATAAAAATTTTCACCACTCTTATTAAAACACGTGGTGTACCACTTGTATTTCCATCATAATTAAAAAAAATTTGTAGGGGACGTAAACCACGGCAAGTGATCCGGTGGAAATTGGGTGGAATTTTAATTTAGGTTTGCCTTTTTGTTTGGCTTTGAGGCATCAAATTGGTAAAAATACCAGTGGCTCTCTCGTTGAAGGCTTTGGAAAGACGTGTTATTTAACTATGCCAAGTGGATTGAAATGTCTTTAGCTTTTTTGGATCCCACTGGAGATTAGTCCTGCTCTTTTGGGGCGTGTGAAACATCATGCTTTGAAAACAAAAGGGTGGGAGACGTAGGGCTTGGATTCTCTGCCCTTCCAATTCGGTGCCCTCCTCATGCTCTCCTGTTTGTGTGGTCACGGTTAAGTCACGTCAATATTTTATATTACTATTTTTTTTTGTCTTATTATTTTTATAAAAAACAATATAAAATGTTAGCATGGATTAACCGTGACCACACAAAACAGAAGGGCACCGAAATGGGAGGGCAGAGAATCCAAGTCCGGAGAGGTACCCTGCATTTGCTGTTTTTGGTCACGAGGATGTATAGTTTAGTGGGAATTTTAACGAAAAGCTCTTGGTATTATTCACTTTAACGAAAAACTATATTTTTATACTAAAAAGTCAATATTGGTATTATTCACTTTATACTTTATTTTGTCCTTATCGTTAAAACTCAAAATTTTCAAATCATTTTCATTAGTTTTCCTTTTAATAAATCCTCCCCTTCTCTTTCTTCGAACTCATATGAATTTTTGTTTTCAATGTACGCGAAACGTAAGTCAGACTTAAATTGAATAGGAACAATGCCCCTTGTATGCCCAGCTAAACCTTTCATCATATGTGCCCCAAGCTGCCCATCAGCCCATGCTTGATGACTGGATTAAAATGTTTATAGTTCTCCAGAAGTTCTCTCTCTAAAAATTGCATCTGATGACAGAGAAAAAAAAAAAGAAGCTTCACACAGACATGAGAGTTTCGAACTCGAAATGTAATGGTGAAGTAAAAAATTGTCGGAAAAATGGATGAAATTTAAAGGTCCAACTCATTTTACTCAACATTTTGTAACTATGGCATGGCGGGTCTACAATTTAGAATGGAAAATGCTAGGGAGATCAGCTATGTGTCACACACATAAAGTAAACTCATTAAACAAGCACTTAATAATCCAATGATCTACATTCATGTCATGTGGTTTATGAAATATTATTTAAATAAATGAGAGATCATCAGACACTCGAAAAAATTAAATTTCTCCTCATTTATATTATGATACTTAGCAGACTGAGCGGTTTACAAATAAAAATAATAATTAAAAAATTAAAAAATAATAAAAAAAACTCTCCTTAGCACACCTCTAGCCCCAATACAATCAAATTAAAACGCCCTACATCAAAGCAACTCAGGAGATAGTGTAACCCAAGAGATAGTGTTGAATCGTACACTGATTTGTCGAATGTCTTCAACCACAATCTCTGGCCTCCAAGCAACAGAGCAATGCACCAGACTTAACCTTAAGATCTCTTTCAACTGAATGAGGATCGTCTACGGATTCTCTTTGTGAGGATCCCAGAGATCCTCACATCGTGTCCGTTCATCGTACATCGTGCGGTTATAAATCATTTTAAATATTTTTATTTAAAATTAAAAACAAATAATACCGGACGAAAACTGACTACATAATGTACGATTAATGGATATGATATGAGGATCCCTAAGATCCTCACAAAGAGAATTCAGAGAGGATCCTCATTCCTTTCAACTAAATGCAGACAACTATCACTAGACCAAATGCAATATGGTGCTCTAGGCAGTTTCAAAATTGATTTCTTCTCTTATAAAAAAAAAAAATAGTATTTAGTTACAGTATAATATGGTATTTCGTCAAAAGCTTTGTGTAACTAATTAATGTGCAAATGAAATTGCTTGCAGCAATATAATAAATCAAAAGTTAAAAAAGCCGACAAATGGAATTGAAATAATGCGTAATTGATTCTATTTTTTCAAACAACAGCTAATTGAGGATGTTTTTTTTCAGTGTGCCACAAACATAGCTGATTGCATTATAATTGGTTGAAAATTTGAAAATAAAAATTCACCCGACATGTTGAATAATCTCTCCTAATTGATATATGTATTTGCTGAATTTGGCATGTATAATTTATTTTCTGATCACCTTAATTAACCAAAAAATCAGGAATTAATTATGATTGAGTTTTTTAAATTGTGCAGTAAACGGCAAGGCAAGCCATCCCTCTTCCATAATATAGATGAAGGAAAGAATAGTGTTAGATCTCACAAAAAGGAGGTTTAAGAAGCCATTTTCTGTTCTCCAAACGGCAAAAACTTGTTGGAAGCCATTAAAGGTACGTACTGTTCAATTACTGTATCGATCATCTTCTGTTTATTCACGGCTATTTCATATGTTTCATTTTTCACCTCTAAATTTGAATATGCCTTTAAATTGGTTTTTTCCTATGTGGGAATAAAACGCTTTAATTTGTTACTGCTATAGCAGAAGCCATTTTTATTGTGAACTGATAGATTGATTACTTCAGAAAGTATATGTGAAATATTGTTGTATGAGACGTCTACGCATGCATTTTGTACAATTACATTTTTTTTTGCAATTACTTTCCTCCTCTTTTCATGTTTCGATCGGCTAATTTTCATTGAGTTTGTTTCTATGGCTGGATTGGAAGTGCTTTTGAAATGACTAAAAGTGTGTTTAGATAAAATGTTTTGTGTTCCAAAAGCACTTGGCCATCCTTCTTGCCAGAAGCACAAGATAAATGTTTCTTACTATGCATTTCAAGTGGATTACAAGAATTCACTTCTATTTTTACTAAAAATTAACTTTAAAATTTTTTTCACCAAAAACGCTTTCAGTCATTTTAAAAACATTCACAAGTGAGCCCCTTAAATGATATTTTTTTTCTTTGTAAATACCTACGTTTTTGTTAATTATATCCCGTTTGGTTATCAATTTGTGTTTCCCAGATCATGTGTAGTACCTGGTTTATTTTGTTTTATATTTTATTTTTATTAATTATTAATAGGAAATTATTCATTCAGATCACGAGATATATTCTGCTAATTTACTTTCGTCAATCTCAAAGCATTGAGAAATTTTATTGGTTTTGGGTTCGTGATATTGCGTGTAAATTGATTAAAAATTGGAGTTCTCTGTCTGTGACTGGAATGGTAATTAGGGTTTTTTTTTCTCCTTCATATTTGTAAGCAAACCCTTTAAATAAAAATGAAAAACATGCATAAATAGACACTAAATTGTTGTTCATATAAGGATTATTATCTATTGGGTGCTTTCGCAATTTTATTTTTAGTTAAACGTTTGTAACCGCTTTTATTTGTGCCTATTTTCTAAGAAAAAAATATTAAGTACTAGTCAAACAAAAGCTTGCTAATGAAAAATATACAACTCTTTGGACAAATTTCAAATTCTATTCAAAAGAATGTAAGTTTCTTTTTTCTTGGAGCAGTAGAAGAAAATGGGTCGCGGGAGGCTGAATATGGAACTCATAACGAACGAAAGAGCTCGAAAAGCAACGTTTCAGAAGAGAACGAAGGGAATTCTGAAGAAGGCCGGCGAGATTTCAACTCTTTGTGACCTAGATGTGTGCATGATCATCTATGGCCCGAAACAAGCTGGTCGGAATCCCGAACTCCACACGTGGCCAAGAAACCCGAGTGAGGTCAATCGCATAATCAACAAGTACAAGGCAAGCACCACGTGCAAACCAGCCAAGAAAACCTTCAATTTGTCCGACCTGTTGATGGATCGAAAGACAAAGGTACATGTCGATACCTACAGAGCGCGCAAGGAGATGTACGAGGCCAAGTACCCAACATGGGATGAACGTATTGAAAATTTCTCCGAAAATGAACTGGAGCTGCTTCTGAATGCATTGGATGCTAAGCTCGAGGCTGGCAAGAGAACATTACTTCATAAGAGGAACCGGCCTGCTGAACACCAGTATATTTGTTCATCAACCCAAAGGCAGCCTTGTAATTATTACAAACCGGATCAAAATGATAACAATGTGGAGGACAAAAATCCTATGACCAGCTGCTCTTGGAATCGTAGTAATATGGATATGGTGGAGATCCTCCAGCCCTTTCCAGTCTCATCATTTGACCATCATCAGCAGCAGCAGCACCCTTCCGATCAAATGCTTCGATTCGATAATTCAAATGAGTATGTGAATAGCGTTTTGGCTCCTAACAATAATCCCGGTCCGCTGGCGATGTGGATGCTGATGCAGAGCAAATACAACTATAGTAGTCTCCAGTTAACCGGAGGGGCTTCCGGCAGTAATTCTCAATTACCATTTGAAGGGCGGCATCACAGTAACTTCAATAACCCGATGATGATTCAGTCTACGGTGGAGAATATGAATATGAATATGATGAGGCAGGAGTACTATTCAGCTCGACTCATGCAGCAGCCAGCTGTGCCCTACTTGCAGTATCCAGTGCTGCCGGCTAGCGTTTCATCATCTCATCAAGTTCATCAAGTGCAGGCTTCTCATCAGGTAGTGAGAGACGATGATCAGTACGAAGATATCAGCCAGTATCTAGTCATGAATAACAAGATGGCTTAACTTAATATATCTTGTTGGGAGTTTAAAATAATTAGTTAGTTAATTAGTGATGCTTTTAATTCTATATAACTGATTTGATTCTATATATTTTAGGTTTAATTTAGTCTCGTATTGGGATTTTACAGTGGCCTTTGATAACTTACACGCTGTGATCACCTACATGCATCCCAGAATTTTAGGATCCAAGGTAGTAGTTGTTTTCTGGTTCTTCTCTGGTTGAGTATCGATCGATCTGTATAAGTTTTTGTTGCAGTTAATTAGACGAATTTAGGTGTGCTAGAAAGATGAACGTATTGCTGGAAATATGAATTAGCTACTGCAGAGCTCTTGTATTTGATATACTTCATGCTATTTCTTATAAAAAAACAAGTAACAAAATACAAATGACATCCGAATTCATACTGCAAGTTCATATAGCTGATAAAAAACCACAAATCCAAAATTTTGAAATTTAAATCAAACAATTTGCAACGGAGTTCAGTATCTATGTGGTGCAAGTACTTAATAATATCTATTTACAAGTCTGCTCTACTAACAGCGTCAAGGCCTGCAATGCAATCTATATACCATTTCAAGGGATCACTTGGCTTCTCTGTGTACTTAAGTGCAATATCTAAGCTTAAATATTCCAAGCTTTGCAAGGGGCATTTGTGTTCACCAACCGACGCAGCACGAAGCTTAGGATTATAAGCGTAAATCTTTGAAGAACTAAAAGTTTGGAATCTACCTCTCTTTAAAAGAAATGTCAAAGGTTGTATTTTATTAAAGATTGGATTGATGATTAATATGGAAGCAAACATTGGCTTAAATAATCTGATTACAGCTCTTTGGGACACTCAAAGTTCTTAAGTAATTAAAACGAAGGCAAATAACATTAATTGGACGACAACAAAAAATACTATTTTTAGTACAGAACTTAAAAAAATGCAGTTTTGAAAGCATAAACGGCCTCAGATGATTGAAATCAATCATATATCACATAAAAGTCATAAATTTGAACAGTAGCGTCGTTATCTTTCCCAAAAGTATCATAGGCTCAAATCGGAGTTTGGATGCCAAATCTGCAAATTCCCATTACGTTCTTTTGTCTTACGTCAATTCATTTCTTCTCTAATCCACTCGGCCATTTGTTATACGTCACCGAGAATCACTAGGGATATATTACAAGTGTTGCGTGACACGGAACGAGTGAATTTGTTCTTATGCTTAACAGAAAAGGAGCACAATTAATCAAAAGATAAACAGAGTAAGTTGCTCTCTTTGGGAGGTGTGACAAAATCTGACCAACAGCAACAGCCAACAGCCGACAGCCTCCATTTCTTGACAACGTGAACGCCTAGGCTGCTGCCGCGTAGAAGGCAATCACAAGCTCTGCACAATTGTTCTTCTTCCGGACAAAACGTAACTATTAGAGCAGAAGAGTAGAGAGAGGAGGCCAAACAATTTCATTTCCGGCCACTTTCCCATTTCACACTCCAAAACCCACATCACCAAACAAGTTTACGACCTCAAAGTTCCTCTTTTGATCTCCGCTGACGACAACCCTTTTGCGTTCATCGGCAAAGGGTGTCAAATTTGACAGCTTTTTTGGCTACACATTTTGATTTGCAGGCTTGCAGCGTATGAATTAGAAGAAGACAAAGTTAAGTCGGTCGGTCGATATCACCGCGTCGGCAAACGCAAAGTAGAGTTTGTTACTTCTTCTTTTTTCTTCCCTTTAAAGCTTTACATTTGCTTTGTTTGCGTTGACTGGTTTTGGTGGGTGGATAGGCGAACCTTCTGGCTAAGAGTTTTAAATGTTTTTGCTTTGCGTGTTTGAATGCAAATCTTGTGTGGGGTTGATCTAAAACCCAATGAAATAAAACCCTCTTGGGTATTTGTTGAAATTTTGTAGAATCTGAAGTGTCTTAGGGGAAAAAGGTAGCTGGAAGTTTGACAAAAGGGGTTGTTTAGATTTTGGTGAAAACCCCACCAAGAAAATCTAAAGTTTTTTCCGAATCGATTTTGTTGTGGTGATTTGTTGATCTGAGCTGTGCAGTTGAGGGTGGTGTGAATCTATGATACAAAATCAGATGTGAATTGTTTCAAACTTTGTATGTTTGTGTTTGAATTTAGGAATTAGGAAGTTAGGTTTTGCAGCTTCAAAGAGCGAAGAGATCTTCTTGCGATTGATCATTGCCAGTTTGATCTTGATTTCGCTTCTCAGTGAGTATAATATTGGAAACATTTGTAGTGTCTGTGAGCATTTGTTGTTGTAATTGGCTGTGCATATATTAAGTTGCTTGGAGACGAGTTTAATTGGACGAAGAAAAAGAAGAAGAAAATGGTTGGGAGTACTGATGGAGTGACCGATAAGGTCTACTCAAATGGGTTGCTTCACCACTCAAGTGATTCTGTTGAGCAGAAGCTTGATGAGCTTCGGCGTTTAATGAGCAAAGCAGAAGGTGATCCGCTTAGGATAGTTGGTGTAGGTGCAGGTGCTTGGGGAAGTGTCTTTGTTGCTATGTTGCAAGATAGTTATGGTCATTTAAGAGATAAGGTCCTAATAAGAATATGGAGAAGACCAGGAAGATCAGTTGATAGAGCAACAGCAGAACATTTATTTGAAGTGATCAATTCAAGGGAGGATGTGCTGAGGAGACTGATTAGGCGCTGTGCGTATTTAAAGTATGTTGAGGCAAGATTAGGTGATCGGACGCTTTTTGCAGATGAGTTACTGAAAGATGGGTTTTGTGTGAATATGATTGATACCCCTCTTTGCCCTATGAAGGTTGTCACAAATTTGCAGGAGGCTGTTTGGGATGCTGATATTGTGGTGAATGGGCTGCCATCAACAGAAACTTGTGTGGTCTTTGAAGAAATTAGTAGGTACTGGAAAGAGAGAGTAACAATGCCAGTCATTATCTCTCTTTCAAAAGGTGTTGAAGCTGAATTGGAGCCTGAACCACGCATAATTACGCCCACTCAAATTATCAATCGAGCAAGTAAGACTGATTCCATACTTTTCATGGATTGTTAACAATGTTTTTAGGGTCAATGCACTGGTAGCTAAGGTTCTGATACCTATTTTTCTCCTTGAGCATTTCTTCTTGGTTGTTTTCTGCTATCTGTTTCATCATTTCGGCTGCTCTTTGATGCTGAGTTATTTACTTAGTGTGTTTTATAATTGTTTGATAATCCCTCCATTGAGTTGACGGCCTTGAGATTCTTAGTGGGGTTTTCTTTCTGATTATAAAAGTAATGTGTAGTTTTTATTTTTTTTATTTTTTCTATGCTATTAGAGTGGTTCATACTTCATAAAATGGTTGTATGGTTATGATAGATATTCAGTCAATTAATTACCTTGTACGTTTTTTACCCTGGCTATTCTGTTCTCTTAATATGCACTTCTTTTTTCAGCTGGTGTTCCCAATGAGAACATTCTCTACCTTGGAGGACCCAATATTGCCTCTGAGATTTACAACAACGAATATGCCAATGCTCGGATATGTGGAGCTGACAAGTGGAGAAAGCCCTTGGCTAAGTTTTTAAGGCAACCCCACTTTATAGTATGGGACAATGGGGACCTTGTTACTCATGAAGTTATGGGTGGCTTAAAGAACGTCTATGCCATTGGAGCTGGTAAGATTCTGTTCATTACATCTCCTATTTGATAAACGTTAAGAGAGTCAGACCTTTTCTTGAATTTAACCCTAAATGGTCAGACTGCACTGCAAATTAACACATACTAGAGTGACTAAAGAGTCTTAGGTGGTGTAGTTTCATGAACTAAATAAAATAAATGAGTGAGTGGGAGAGAGAGAGAGATGACTTGTGAGCAAGGAATTGCAAGATTATGCCAAATCATATTTTACTTTTTGGCAAAGCTGAAATATGAGTAGGCTTTGATAATTAACCAAAAGATGCTGCATTTGTGTGGATAATTGTTTCATTCCACAAAATGATACGCATGCAAAACATATATAGTGTTGGAATTTTGAATTATCTACTTCGTCAAAACATATATAGTGTTGGAATTTTGAATTATCTACTTCGTCGACTGAAGTAGATAACTGAGGCATGCTTAAGACTCCAAAATTTCATTGAAGGCCTCACTTCTACTTGGAAACATGGTTTATGGTGATTCAATGTCTATAGACCTAAGTATGCATGTTAAATAAGGAATTGCTAATGGACCTCAAATATCAGTCTCATTTCCATAATGTCATTAAATAAATTTGGAAAGCTATTTGGCCATACTCGTAACTTTATACAGTTTTGCTACAAGCCTACAACAAACCTTACATTCTCTTAAACTTGAGCATTTTTATTTTAGGATGTCTCCCATAGTCCATTCGAAGGATACTGGCCACTCAAACATAATTCTATTTAGTTTACGGTTCTGGTTACTGTCTGGCAACAGAAGTTCCCTATATGAGTGTGGGCACGTGTGTGCGTCACAGTTGAAGTTGTCTAAAGAAGGATTCATGTGTTGCAATCCTGTCTTTGGGTGACTGACTGAATTTTCTTGCAAAACATCCATTGCCGCATTTGGATTTCCATGTCAATTACCTTTATTAGATCTCGTGTCAATTGGAGGTTAATATATATGATTTTTGCCTTATATTGGCCTGATATATATGTTATCTTGGAATTTACAAGTGCTATCCTTAAACGTTGTGGCAATTATAATCGATCGATTTAAGCTTATTTCTAAGAATATGTATTTGAAGGCTTTAATCAATACATTCAACTTTGAATCATGACCCAACAGGAATGGTAGCTGCCTTAACCAATGAGAGCGCCACAAGCAAATCAGTATACTTCGCACATTGTACATCAGAGATGATTTTTATCACTCATCTGTTGGCAGAAGAACCAGAGAAGCTGGCAGGGCCTTTGTTGGCTGACACGTATGTTACCCTGTTGAAAGGTCGTAATGCATGGTATGGACAAAAGCTGGCGAAAGGGGAGTTAAACCTTGAAATGGGTGATAGCATAAAGGGCAAGGGTATGATTCAGGTACAGATCTCAATCGACTTCATATTCATGAAGTAACAAGCAGAGGTTTGCCTTGCATCATTATTATTGTTTAATGAAATCTGGGCTTTGACCTGATGACATAGATTTGACTAATAAGTTCAATGGGAAACCTTCCAGATCGTTGCAATGATTAAAAAGACAAGTGCTTGCAATCACAAATCATAAAAAAAGACAAGTGCTTGCGATCACGAATCATAAAACTTATAATCGCATTCCAAAGAGTTATTTCAAAAACAATATTCTGGTGGCTGCTTGTAGCTTTCTTGTCTAGATATTCACAAGTCATGAACATACTGGACCTTGCTGATTCAGTACTTTAATGCCACATACAGTTGTAGAAAGATCATATTGAATATATGGTTCCATGATGCTTGAATCTCATATTTTGGTTCTAAATATACCAGGTCCTCTACTAATATGCTTTAAAAATAGGCTTTTTAGCCAAAATGGTCTCTAAGATTTGCATAACACATCACTTTGGTCCCTGAGATTTGAAATCAATAGAAGTGGTCCCTGAGATTGTCCACCATCAATTATTTTGGTCATTATGTGCAAAATTATGTTAAATGAGGATCAAAATGACAAATATACCCTCAATTTAATAAATAATGGGTCAAAATGATTTGACAAAAATTAAGGGTATTTTGGTCATTATATACTTATTTAATGGAGATTTTTCAAGGAAGCAACAAAATGATTGATGGTGGACAAACTCAGGGACCAATTATATTGATTTCAAATCTCAGGGACCAAAGTGAGGAGTAATGCGAATCTCAAGGACCATTTTGGCTAAAAAGCCTTAAAAAAATTTTGTTTCTAGTTATCTGTGTCATAATTACCTCATATATTCTACTTCATTATGGTGGAAAACTATAGCACTTGCAGTTTCACTTTGGTGTTTGATTTCACTGGCTGTTTAAAGTTTAAATTGGATTCATTACGGCTAGTTCTGCGCGAGCGATGCTTGCATGTATTACTCTTGGTGTAAGGATCTGTATGTTTGTTCTGTCATGTGACTGCTTTCTTGTCTCAATAAAATGAGATTGGTTCCTTGAAAGACTGCAAGAGACGGCGCTTTCATTTATTGGAACTCTACAATGATGCGACCCTTTGTATTTTGCAGGGGGTCTCTGCTGTGAAAGCATTTTTTGAGCTGCTAAGTCAGCCCTCTTTAAGTATCCTGCATCCCAATGAGAAGAAGCCCGTTGCTCCCGTTGAGCTTTGCCCTATCTTGAAGATGCTATATAGAATACTCATAACTAGGTATTACTTTTCTGTGTTTTCCAAATAGAACTAAGCCAATATCATTTTGATCAAGCTAGTTCAAATTAATGTGAATCATAGTAGAAGTGAATTTGATGTCATCGCGTTATGTGAATCTTTAGGGAGTTTCCGTCGCAGGCTATTCTTCAAGCGTTGCGGGACGAGACCATGAACGATCCTCGGGACCGTATTGCAATCGCACAAACGCATGCATTTTACAGGCCATCCCTTCTTGGTCAGCAGCTTTGATGTGGAACTTCTCTCTTTTGCATGTAATTTTATCAGTTCTAAACCATGTCGTGAGAAGCACTGTTGTCGTAGTTTTCTATAGCATTCTGCCGGGGGATAATGTATCGGGAGAACGCTTGGTTATCGGATTGTTTTTCCGATGGTGAATTTTTTGGCAGAGAACCCGGAATTGCACTTGTTTAAAATTCTGGCAGTTTTCAAATTGATGAGATTGCATAACATTAGTTTTATGGCAATTGCTTGTAAATCATACCCAAAATGTCAGAGTAGCTTACATGGTTAAGAGTTTCGAAATGTTTGAATTTGTCTCTTTCAACATGGCTTGTAAAAAGAATACAACCTATATTTCGAAATCATCAAGAACGAGAATTAAAGCTAAAGTAACTTGATGACTTTTATCATTATAATTTGATATCAAACTCGTCTGAAGATTTTTCATTAATTGTAGTGTTAAGTAGTGTTTCACATCGAGATTCAGTTACAATGTTAAGTCTCACTCAGGTTTGAAGTTAGAGCATCCGGATTTAAAACTTTGTATACCCATTTTTGTAATTTTAAACTTAAAATTAGATTAGAACATCGGGATCTGGCACAATATTACGTCTCAGTAAGTGATATATATTTTATCCGTATAATTTTTATATACAAGATCTAAAGTTGATTTTCGAAACCACTACAGTGACACATACCATAGGATTCTCTCCAACTCTGGGCTAAATGCCAAAATACCCCGTTTATTCTCCCCCAAACACCACTCAACCCAAGCCAAAACATTGGGCTAAAAACTAAATGCTAAAGCTGGGCCAAATACACCCCCCCATATTCACCCCCACACGCGTGGATTTGCCCAAAAAAGGCCCAGTCTCGGCCCGCTCACTTGCCAACGCGCCTTTAGCGCTTGACAGCGAGGGGCCCACTGTCAGCCACATCCCCGAGCCCAACGATTCTTTTCCGCATCCAACAACAGGAATTTAGGGACAGTTGGTTGATCCAACGGTCCATATTCAAATTTTATTTTTTTAAAAAATGTTATTTTAAAATACATTGAATCCAACGGCTGAAATCGAATATAATCAAATCTAACGGAAAAAAAAAGATCTAACGATCTAAATTTAAATCCAACGGCTAAAATAATTAAAAAAAAATTTAAAATTCACCAAAAAACTCTATAAGTACCTATGTATTTATTCAAACATCTATAAAATTATTACCAGAATTTAAATATTTTAAGCTTAAAATGTTCATAAAATTAATTTACGATAGTCTACATATTTTTTTTAAAGTTAATTTAAGAAAAAAAATATCTTAAGTTCATTCTTTAATAATCCTAATCTAAAATTTTAGATCAAAATAATTGAAGTAGAAAAATTGTTTCTAAGCTAAAAATTAAATTTTTCGGATTAAAAAATTTGACTTTTAGTCGAAGGTTGAAAATGGTTTAAAAGAAAATGAAAGAATATTGTTCGAGTCCGTCCCAAAATATAAAAATTTATGCCAAGAGATAATTTAAAAAAAAAAAAAAAAGAGTTACAAAGGAGGAGCGTTTTACTTTTCATTCCTTGGCTTGCGCAGACAGAAGAAACAGCGGAGACGGCAGCGGCCAAAAGTGAAGAGTGAAGTAGAAAAGCCGAAAGATGTCGTTGGTGGACTACCCATCTTCAGACGACGACGTATCGGAGGAGGAGGTTAGGGAAAACAAGGAAAATGAGCCACAGCAACAATTACCCAGAGACGATCCACGTCCTCACACTCAGTAATTCACGCCCCCCTCAGTTTATTCAATTTCATCGATACATTTGAAATCTTTTACTTCTTTCGAATTTATCACTGTTTTTGTTATGGATTTTTAATTTATGATATTCTGAGTAATTTCTATTATTTTTGTTTGTTTGATTTGTAGAAAACTACGTGTTGGGATGCTGTTAATTTTTGCATACGTGAGTTGTAGATAAGAAAGGAAACTTCAAGGACTTTTAGGAAGAAGCATATTGTAATTAGCTTAATCAAAATGAGGGTTATTTCCCATTTGTAGGAAAGTTATAAACTTGTTTTTGATACAAGCGATATTCTACACTAAATACCTTTAAGCTCGGAATTCGAACTTGAGTGCAGAAGGGGCCAACTTGGCTAAGCTCAGGTCTGACGGAAATTAAAACTTAGAGAAGGGCATAGTATTAAAGAAAATTCCATTTTATTTTCTGTGTTGTTTTATTTTATTATTTTAAATATTTCTAGGGTTTCATATTATTTCACATGATAGTGTTGCATAATGTTGTACTAAAAGAGGGTTTTTCTTAGCAGTCCTAAATTTTTCACAGCTGGAAAAGTAGTTACAGTGTCCTGTATAAGCTTACCCTTACTTCGGTTGTATTTTAATTTGGTTTTGTTTGTTTTCTGTGTAATAGATTGGTTGTTTCATCATACCAGCAGCCGGAAAGTTCTGCCCCTGCATCAGCTCCTTCAATCCAGCAACTTCCTGATGCTTCGATGCTCTTGAATTCTCCTGTTTCCTCATCCAATATGTTGAGTGGCGGCGACCACTCTTCTCGTGTTGCAGCTGCAATGGCGGAGAGTTCATCACGCAAGAGGGAGAATGCATTTGCTTCCTCTGATCCTCGCAATAAAGTTCCTAGAGGTAACTTGCCTCATTCCAAGAATGTTCCAGATACAGTTGGTGGTCTGCTGGTTCCGCCTCAGCTTCGTGGAAGGTCAGTTTCAGTATGTATGTTTTTCCATTTCCCACAGCTTATTTGGCATTTAAAATTTTTCCTTTAGATACTGGTTTTGTTTAACTGTTTAGCGATATAAAGATTAGTAGATTTGTGTATGCGATGAGTTGTAGTGAAAATTATACCATTACAGTGGGTGGATTTTCTAACTTTGGCCTTCACACTAAAAGGATTAAAAACTACCTGTCCAATTGAATTATGAGTTGAATAGGAGTTAAAGTGAAAGTTTAACCAAAAGAAATTATCCCTTAAAACCATCCCCTATTATTCGCAATTCGTTGTAGAATTTACACATGAGAGAGAACCATATTCTGTACAGCATGTTGCAGATACAAAATGTTTATCAATTTTATTGGGATGGACTCTCCTAAGTGGGGGAAAAGTTGCTCTCATGGAGTGTGTGATATTGGCCTGTTTAACCGTCGTGATGACTTAATGGAGTGGACTCTTTTTAAGTTGGTCCTTGATAAGAATTCTGTTGCGCTACTCTATATTCATAGGGTTCCCGAATACTTATAATGGTTCATCCTTTCGCCTTTGCTTTTACATGAAACGGTGGATTTGGGTTGTTTACTACTGTATCATATTTGATTCTATGATTGGACTTCATGGGATAGGATACTCATCGGAAAACTTTTGTCAAGTCTGTCTTCTACTGTACTCTAGGTCACTGCATGAATCTATCTAAAACTAAGGGTTGGTTTGGTATTGCTGTGCTTCGAAAAAAGCTGTTGTGAGAATAAGTGGCTGTGCTATGAGAATAAGCGGCTGTGAAATAAATAAGCAGAGTGTTTGGTAAACTTTTTTGTAAAAGTGCTTTTGGAAAAAAAAGCAGTCTGATAGTGTTTGGTAAACTTTTATGTAAAACAGCTGTGACTGTGTGAAATGACCAAAAATGATATAAAATGAGTTTTTTTTTTTTTTAACCTGAAACCCCACATAAGTCTCTGTCTCGGATTGGTTTTTCCCCCGTCGGAGGAAACCATTTCTAGGGTTTGGAGATCCCCAAATTGGGGTTTGCAAGGTCAGATTTAAAGGATGCCCAACGCTTGGGAGGTGAAATCCGAGATTTAAAGGATGCCCAACGCCTGGGAGCTTCATTTGAATCAGAAAATTTCCAGTTCTTCTACCCACAACCCAGAAAACCCCAAACCCAGAAAACCCTCAAAGTCGGCGCCCTCACCGTCTTCAACCGCACCCTCGCAAGGACAAGAAGCATTTCGACAGAAAACCCACAAACCCAGAATACCCACAACCCAAATCCGACGTCCGCTCCGTCCTCCTCGACCCCACCATCGGCGCACTCTCTGGACTCCACCACGGAGGCATCCTCGTCGACATGACCACCTCCGAACCCTCCCTCGCTGTCGAGATCTCCTCCCTCGCCGTCGACTCGATCTTCGCCCACAAGTCCGGTGTGGGTCTTTTCATTAAAGGAGCACTGTAGCTCCGTGTGCTTTGAAAAAAATACAGTTTTCCAAAGCAGCAAATAGCTGCTTCAGCTTATTCTCACAGCAGCTTCCAAAATAAACCTTTTTTTTTTAGTTTACCAAACACTTAAAACCCTCACAGCTTTTTTTCATGGGTGTTTATTTTTTTAAGCACCTCACTCCCAAACCACCCCTAAGGCTATGGGGAAAAAAATTTAGGAATAGAACAAATACAATTTTTTTGTGTTTGGTAAAGTTTTAGAAATCGACTCATTGGGAATGAATTCTAAACTGATGGTCCTTTTTTCTTCCGGATGGTGGCAATCCCTGAACTTGGCATATTGTATCTGTTGAGCAACATTAAATATGCCAACTCTGTTCTACGTTAAGAGTTTTTCAATCTCACATCATTATTTTCTTTTTTGGGTCCAGGAGCAACATTGTTACAGAAGATGTAGGAAAGCTATTTGTCAAAAAGCAGGCTGACCCTTCACCAAAGTAGGCGATATCTAAATGGGTGATGACATAGTCGGAGTCTTAGATATTGTGTTTTTGTAACGAGAGTCTGGATAATGTCTTTCAGAATCACATCAACTACTGAGGATTTTTGGTTGTATAAAATGTAAAGAATGTTAGAGAAGCCATGTATTGTATTTTTGTTCTAGTTATCCTAAGTTGTGTCACAACAGCTAACTAGGTCTGGACGAAGTTTTCCAAAGGTAGGGTTTTTCTGCTTCTGATGGGTTTTGTTGCATTTATGAGGTGAAGTTAGCTTTAATGCATTCGCGTTGTAGCTCGTGTGTTTTCTTGGACACTTACTCAAAATCTAAAGTGAGTCACTTGTCATTGAACTCTTTTGACCATTGTCGGAAGCTGTTGAAGAATGCGGCAAAGTGGTTGGATGAAATGCGGAAGCTCAAGATAAAACCATCAAACAGAGGAAAAGGTACAACTCTTGCTCCTGAATTCTCTTCTCCTTCTACTTAGAGCGTTTGATAGATCTTGTCGGGGACGATGTCCCAAATACTGAATCTGGGAACACAGAGAGGAAGAATGTCCCAAATACTGAATTTGGGAAAAAGGAGAGACTGCCAATAAGGAAGGATGCCCCAGATGCTGATTCTGGGAACATGGAGAGACTGC